TCTTAACTAACTATTTAGCTCTTGAAACCCAATTCTTGTTTGGCTAGCACTACCATGTCAGAGGTACCACTGCATTGTCAGAAGTGCCATCTTTGCATGCTATATTAAATCAGAGTCTAGACTGCTTGTTCCAGAAGTTAAAGATCCTATGACTATTAAAATAGAGAAGAGTTTTTTTTTCTCTTCGTGTCCTAGCCAACAATCCTTAATTGGTTATTCATGGTTGTTTGTGGAACTTTGCTCTGAGCAAGTGGCTGGCATGTTTGCTTTAACAAAAATCACAGTTAACATACTTAAGCTGGGAAGCACTTTGAGGCACAAAAAGGTACTATAAAAATGCAAGTTATTTCTTTAGTTTGTGAAAAAAATCCTGCATTCTGAAACCAGATGTATTCATTAGATGACAAATTGTGTACATTTTCAATGAGTTAGAAATATTCATGTTTAAATCTTCTAAAGTTACTTGTGAAGAATAATCATTTGTACAATCTCTTGTGTAATACGAAAACTGCAAACCAAGGAGAGTGAAATTTGCGGTGTTGTATTTCAAAATACTTCTATGGCAATTTGATACTATCCAGTTTATATTTTCTTAACTTTTAAAAATATATATTTGCCCAGGGTTATAAAACAGCATCATGCACACCTAAAGGAAAATTCTGGGAACATATCTACCAAAACATGTAATTGTTTTATTCATAAGGTTAATAATCCTTGTCTTTGATAGAATTTTTAAAAAGCACCCAAAATTTGCCAGAAAGAGGTGACAACATTGAAAAGGTTAAAGAGACACCAGGTCAGATGTGTACCTTTAACTTTTCTGTGGTTTTCAATCAATTCAAATTTGGCACAAATTTAGATATTAGGAATAGAACAGCCATATTGGATGGATTCTGAGGTATTTGCTTTTTATTAGCCGATTTATATAAATGTCAGAACTTTCAACATATAGGGTGACCAAAAAGTCGTGATACCATTACAATGTCTCATAAGTCTTAAAGAAATTAAGCTATTTTTGTTTTTTTTAGATAATAGAGCAGTTATCACAACGTCTCGGTTAACCTGTATATCCATTGAACAAAAGCTGCTGTTGTTGAACAGCAACACAAAATTGTTGTTCTAATCCTTAATAATGTGTGATAGAATGTAATGCTGCTTACTCAGTAATGAGCCCTTCCAACTTTTACATAATCAAAATTAAGAGGTCAATATTGAATGAAAAATTGAGCATTTACAGTATCTGGATTAAAGAGTTTAGGAAAATCTTAGTTAAAGCATTTATATGTGTTGTTGTGTGTGAGCCACTTTTAAATAGAAACACTGGTAAGTGTGTGTGCTGCGTTTGCAGTTTAGAATAAGGAGCACTCTGGGATTTATTTGGTGCAATAAGGCAGCTTATGGTTTTATAAACAAAATGCTATTCAGATAAGTTAAAAAAATAATCTTTTCTGATACAGTATTCCCTTGTTAAAGTGTGGATGTTCGGTTCTGAGGGGTCATTTGTGCTTTAGCTGCTAAAATACATGAAGGTTTGTGCTAAAGTACCAAGTGAATTTACGATTTAAAGTAAGCTGATTGTATTATTTATTGTCTGTACAATGCTGCATCATCATTATTCTGTTAAATTCCCTAAGGAAATATGCTCTAAGCAACCAGTGAGGTAGGACAATACATTTACTGCTAACAGTGATTTGGAGAAATGTAACTTGTCCAAAAGGCAACTCCAAAATCTTGTTATGGCTTTCATCTGCTTTTAGGTAACAGGCTTGTGAGTGTCTCAAGTTTCTTGACTCAGGTTGTGGCTACATCAATCCTGTCTAGATCTTTCTAGACATAAAGGATGGACTTAGCCCATGCAGATCCTTCTACCTAATAACACCATATTAGGATTCCTAAGGAAATAATAATAATAATCCTTGTATTTGATATAGCACTTTTCACGCCTTCTAGACGCCTCAAAGCGCTTCACAGAATACATTGTAAAGTGAATTGACTACATTTTGTGGGTGGCAGCCAATTGCACACAGCTGTGTCCCACAAACAGTCGGGGTTTGAGTGACTAAATTATTATTGTTAATATTATCAGGCATAATAATAGTGATGTAGAGTAGGTTCAATCCACTGTTTATGCTGAATTTGTTGATCTCAGCCAGGATAGTAGTGGGGTTGTTCCAGTTGATCTCAGTATCCACAAAATAGTAGAGAGGGTGGAAGTCGGGCATAGGTAAAGCTCCAGTTCTCTATGTAATGACTGCTGCTGGAAAGTATGAGTATGGAGGTGGAATTAGAACAGGATCAGGTTCAGCTGTGATGCTAGGATATGATCCCTTTGACGTTTTGCTTATGACACCTCAGAGCCAATCAACATGGGTAATGCTAAATATTGGAATATAACCTTCAGAGTTTTCAGCTGTTAAGTTTTGACGTTGAACAACAAATTGCAATCAAAGACCTGAGCTGAGCTGGGGTTGGATACAAGAGGGGTGGGAACCAAGGGGGGAGGGTTGGCTCCAGTGTGTGCAGAGCAGAGGGAAAGGGTGGGTTGGTAAGATTTTAGAAGATCAGAAAGGTAGGGTGGTCAACAATGGGAAGGGCTTTAAAAGAGAGAGCAAGGATCTTGAACTCAATCCTTTGGGGATAGGGTCCTAATTTTGGCTCACAGAACCTGCAGGAGAGGACACGAGCAGAATAATTTTGAATAGTATGTAGCTTGTGGAGGGAAGATTTGCAAAGATCGGCAAGCAGAGATTTGGCAAAGTCCAGTCTTGAAGTGTTAAAAGCGGGTAAAGGTCTCAGCTACCTGAGGGGAAAGATAGTGGCGGAGGCGGGAAACGTTGCGAAGGTGGGGAAAAACAGAAACAGTTGTGAAGGAGAGTGACTGAGGCGGTAAAGTTGTTGTGAGAAGAGGGCCAGAGAAAATCAGAGCAGATGTAAGGGAGAGGAGGGTAATCTTTTTCCTGCCATTACAAGTTACTGTTGTTAATTTGATCATTACAAAAAATTATGAAGTCTACAATGAGATTTTTAGTTTAACCTTGCATTACTTCTGTAAATGAAATATGGCTCATTTTAGCATCAGTTAATGCCTTATCTTGAGATAATCAATCTCAGGAATGCATAACCGAAACTTACATTTCCCTTTTCTATATTTGAGCATGTTGTATAGTGAAGTTACCAATTCTAGAATAGACTAGAACCCTGCAGTGAATGCAGGCTTGGATATTGAATTCAGAAAATAAATGAAACAATTCCTGACTCAATGGGAAGTGTAAAAAGATGGATGCAGCACCAGGGGCAGGAAAGGGAATAATATGCAGCAGCCTAAATAGGATGACTATCACTGGATACCTTGCTGGATGTCCTGGCATTCTGAGAGTTAAATAACTACAATAGAATGCTCTCTATCTCTGTACAGCAATTATACACATATCTGTTTATTTGCATTGAACTCCAATGCAGATGCTACAGTGTTGTGAAAAAAAATCTGGTTATGTCCATGTGTGAAGTTCCACAGATGTGCATGAGGTTGCTATTGTTGCGAATGGTGCTTCTTAGTAGACTTGACCGACTGTGCATGACTTTGTGTGTACAACCAGATTAATTTTGCTGTAGTGAAGGCAAGTTTATATATTTACAGTAATTTTATAGCTTAGATCAAGAGAGGGAGATATTCATATACTGTATATATATATCTATGCTAATAAAACAACAATGTCTGTCTGCGCTTCAAGAAGGATCTCAATAACCGATTGACGTAGAGACATGATTTATCCCTCATTGAAAAGGTCTTCCATCTGGGAGTGACATGGGCACATTTGTTTTTGGGCATCTCCTATTGTTCATGAGTTATTTTCAGTTTTGCGTTTCTCACTGCAGTTACACCTGGTGGCCTCCGAGTCAAAGTGGTGCTGTGGTATCGTGCGTCACAGAGCATGTACATATCTATGCACACACTGCACTGACACCTGTTGGCTGCACCAGCTGACTGTGGCGCTGTGGCATCCTGCGTCACAGAGCACGCACATAGACAAGCGACGGGAACAAAATAAAGAACGCAGACGAAGCTAAGCTGCAGCAACAACAACAAAATTACATTTTTAAAGCGCCGAGTCCTCCCACTGAGTCCTCCCAAAAGGTGTCCTCCCACAGGAGGCCTCCCAGCTGAGTCTAGATGAAGACGAAATGTCTGTTTGTGTGTCTGTCTGTGTGTCAATCCACATTCCATATTGGATCCTATGGTTGCAAGCGAAGCTACACAGCTAGTGTGTGTAAAGAGAGAGAGAGAGAGCGAGGCAGAGTGAGAGATAAAGAGTGGCAGAGAGATAATAGGGCCAGCCCATGCAGTACTACAGCAACAATACAGGTATAATTGCTGATGTAACAACTTTTTAGGCACTATAGCAAATTTATATTTTGCATGATGTCTAATTGTGCAGTCAGACGCTTTGCCTGTAATAATAATAATCCTTGCATTTGATATAGCGTTTTATCATGTCTCCAAGATGTCTCAAAGCACTTCACAGAATATACTTTAAAGTGAATTGACTGTATATTTTGTGGGTGAAATGCGGCGACCAATTGCGCACAAATCTCAATTTAAATCAATATAAATCTCAATTAAAACAAATTTTATCATGTTTGATACATTCGGACTAACCTCCTTGGGGGAAAGGTAAGTGGAGCCTCGTTGGAGCTGATTTGGCTCAAAGATGACATGCTTGGTAATGGAATTTTGGAATCGACTCAATCGTCTCAGTAGTCCCCTTCCCAAGCCAGGTGGGTCCGCAGTATTCCAGGGCACTGCTGATGACAGCAGAGTCAGCCTGGCTTATCAGCAGGACTTGGAGTAGCAGAGCAGTCATGTTATCTCTATGCTAATAAAGTTTGTTGCTGTTTTCCTCAATGTTTATCATCGAGATCCTCACATTTTGACTTTAATTGATTCTGACAGTTTTGGACTAGTTATATATTTTACTACTGTTTCTCTCTCTCTCTCTTAGCTTCTTGCTTGGTGCACTCGGAGAAGCCTTGTTTGTTTATGCTAAGAGAAGTGGAGCATTAGTAAAAGGATGAACGTGAAGACAAGACAGATGCTGCAAAACACCTGCGACATCGTAATTGTATCACTTTCCCTCATTCCGTGAGATCAGTGAGAAAGGAAATGACACGTGGATGGCAAATGGAGCAACAATGTTTTTTCTCCCTTTTTTGCCATGTTTCTATAAATATATTTGAATGAGGGAAGTATAAATGGTGATTAAGACTTGATTTTACCATAAAGCCTTGGGCAACATGTATTTACTGTCCCACGTGAGAACCCAGAGAGGAAAACAAAGCATTGTGCCTCATGACAGTTGTCTGTGTGAACCACTGATTACTGTACCTTCTCAAGGAAAGAATAGGATTCTCAAGTCAGTCGACAGCAGAACAGGAAACACTTTGCTCTCCCAATCTGATTAAACCACAGAATTTACTGTGAACAATGAAGTCATAACATTTGAGAGATCATTTGGACTATTTTTCCCCATGAGTAAATATGAGTTTCTGCCTGCTCTAAGGTAACTGGCTGGAATAGTAACTCTTTGCAACATGTAATAATAATAATAATAATCCTTGCATTTGATGTAGCGCTTTTCACGTCAGGAAGACGTCCCAAAGCGCTTCACAGAACACACTGTAAAGTGAATTGACTGTATATTTGTGGGCGAACGCGGCAGCCAATTGCGCACAACAATGTCCCACAAACAGTCGTAGATTGAAAATGACCAATTTATTATTGGTTTTGGTTTTTTGGAGGGATTATTATTAGGCGTGTGGAGTAAGGAAACTTGCCCAAGGTTTCGCCCTGACTGCCTGGAATTGAACTCAGGTATCTCGCTTGCAAAGCGAGTGCTCTAACCACTGAGCTACAGGACTCCACGTCCAATGTATATTCATTGCTGTGAAGCATTTTTTTAAAACAAGATTGAATTCAGATGGTGCATATCATATTAAATCTCAGAGATCTAGTGTGAGATGAGGAACATTTATAAATGTTTCTGTTTATTTATTTCAGTAAAAACTGATCATTCAGTTTCACCCACATTTTGTAATAATGTAGAATAATAATCCTTACATTTGGTAAAGCTCCTTCCACATCGGGAGGATGACCAAAGCACTTCACAGGATATACTGTAAAGTGCAGTGACTGGTTTGTGGGTGAACAAGGCAGCCTATTTGCTCACAACAATGTCTCACAAATAGCCATGAGTGAATGACCAAATTTATTTGGGGGATTGTTAACTACGACACTAGGAGAAACTCTTTTTGAATAGTACCATGGGATTTTTAACATCCACTTGATGGGACCTCGGTTAACATCTCATCTGAAGGATTATTGTTAAAGAACTAATAGATCATTTCTTATTGCCAAATACGCATTCTAACTATTTTATAAGGGGTTTGACTATTATAGCAGCCTTCTTGTAAAACTAAGGAGAGCTGCTCAAATTAAAGTACTGTATTGGATCATGGTTTGATGAATAACTATCTTTGGAATATGAGGATCAAAAATGGAAATACCAGAACACACTTTGAAGAAAAGAGATTTTTTTTTAAATACTGTTTTTGTTTAGATAGGGATCTCCAACCAGTCAATCGTCATTAGGTGGCATCTCGCATGTGCTGGATAAAAATGAAGGAGCAATATTTATTGCAGTTGAAACATTAAAGCTTATATTTTTATTTCGACGTGCAGCTGGCTTTGTTTTCATTGGTCTCATTAGCAATGCAGTTTTATCGCTCCTTCCTCTTGTCCTCTTGCCACCTAGCTGTGATCAAATATTTGGAGACCTCTGGTTTAGATATATCACACATAAAGTCTTCACTTTTGTAGTAGCATTGATTATGAACTAAGCAAGAGAGTCAAAAATGTAATAAATTATTTTTTAGTACTCCACGATTAATTGCTTTTGTCTTGCACTGAAAACATGGATTGTTTTTTACTATTCTTTGGTACAGAGAAGTAGGCCTGCAACTGCAGCCAGTGATCATCACTGTGTTTTGCAGCAATAACTATATCTTAAACCAGCTGTTGGAAATGCATTTATTGCTTGTAGCTGAATCAGAATGGATTGAATTGTTTGCTTATATTTTTTCTCCTTTCTAAGACTGAGTGATATCTTTTCAGTTTCTTCCTTTAGTTCAGTTATAGCATTATTTCAGCTTGCTCTTCGTGTATAATTGTGCATTTTATAAGTATAGTCCACCATAGAGTATAAGGACATAAGAATTTGCTAGACAAAAGACCAAGGTCCATCTCGTTCGCCTTCCACCGTGCTAGCAGTCACTTGACATGTGTGTCACAAACTATATACGGTATCAAGATATTTTTTTCCAGCAGAAATCTATCTGATTTGTTCTTGGAACAAATGACATTTTCTGCTTCCACTGCCTCCCTAGGGAGCCTGTTCCATAAGTTATTATTATTATAATATATTATTATTATAAGTTTACTACTCTCTCACTGAAGTAGTGTCTCCACAGATTTGTTCTGAATTTACTTCCCTTTAGTTGTAGGCTGGGTCCTCTGGTTCTACTGTTCAGTACAAGATAAAACAGCTTATCATGGTCAACATTATCTACTCCCTTCAGAACCTTAAACACCGCAATAATATTACCCCTCAACCTTCTTTTCTCCAGTGTGAACATGCCCAGTTTATCTAATCACTCCTCATAGTGCAGTCAGTCCCTCCATCACCTCAATTCTTTTGATCCCCTCCTCTCTATCTTCTGAATCGCTGCAATATCCTTTTTATGTTGCAGTGACAGAACTGCACACAGTATTCCAAGTGCGATCGCACCAGTGATTTGTAAAGTGGCAAGATTACCCCACTATTTCAACTCAATATTGCCCTTTTAATACAGCCTAGCAACTGGTTTGCCTTACTCATTGCTGCAAAGCACTGTGGAGATAGCTTCATAATGCACTTGAATAGTACTCCGTTGAAAATATGTTGATTTGTTGAGAGGTCAAGCAGGTTAACTGGCAAGTACTACAAAGCAGGATGTTGGGTTTAGTTATGAACGAGTTTCATATAAAGACAAATTTGGCGAAGATCACCTGACCAAAGGGCAATGCTGTGGTGTCCCTAGCTTACCATATACTACCTAGTAGGATGATGTCAATTTCCTATTTGTATGCAGAGATTGACTTTTCTTTCATGTTACATTTATATTGCAGTCCTGCTCTGCTTTCTCATTGCTTTGTAAGTCTGCTGCTGCTGTCTTCAAAGGCAAGATGTGTTTCCTCACCTCTGCAGTGCTGGTAGTAGCAAGCATATTGATGCAGCAAGTCTCCTGCTGCCCATGGAAATGCCAGCTGCTCTGTGTTTTATGTTGGCAAACCCATGTGCGTCATGCTGACTCAAGAATTCTGCTCCGACCTGTGCCTCTGCCCAAGTTCTTGGAAGTCGACATAGTAGGGTCTACACTGGGGCTAGCGCTATAAATGGGTCATTGTTTGTTCTGGAAGCCAACAAGATCAAAGAGGCAAGTGCTAGGAAAGCATAATTCTAGATCAAACGAGTGCTGTAAGGTTAGAACATTTAGGAAATAGTGAACTTATGCAATTAAGTTCATGGTAAGGATAAAAAAAAGAGTCCAGGATAAAAGTGTTAGAAGAGAGCAAATTTCAATAGAATAATAATAAGCCTTGCATTTGATATAGTGCCTAATCACGTCTTCTAAATGATTCAAAGCGCTTCACAGAATATACTGTAAAGTGAATTGACTGTGTATTTTGTGGGTGAAATGCGGCAGCTAATTGCACACAGCAGTGTCCCACAAACAGTTGTGGATGGAGTGATCAATTTTTCAAAAAATTAAGAAATTATTACCCCCAGAAGAATGATTCGCCAATTGATTAACAACCAAAGGAAGACTTAGGAAGGCTAGAATAAAATATGAAGAAAAACTGCCATTGCTTCTTATTATATAGAAAGAGCTCATGATATCTTTGAATTCAGTCCCCCAAGTTCTGTTGCGTAACTGGTCAAACACATTTTTTCCTGGGACATCCAATCATGTGCTTCAAATTAGATTCATTATTTAACTCCAATGTTTGGTGAAGTATATAGAGGCTACAAATTCAGCAGCAAGTGGCTTGATTGGAGCGCCTATGCTAAACTACCATTTTCATGTCAAGGGATAGCTCCCAATATACTTGCAGGAAAGAAACGGTTATTCCATCTCAGAAGGGCATATGTGCAGCTGTTGAATGGAATGAAATGATTTAAACATTGACATTTTGTTGGTCACAGGGATTCCACTTAATAAATTCACACTCTGGAACCTCTCCATGTTTTTATGGTCAGATGCAGTAACTTGTTTATTCAAGCACATATGTTCTTTCATGTAGATAAACAATGGGCCTATTTTCAGATTCAGGGATGAAGGCACTTTAGATTTTCTTCTGTAATAATGGCACACACTCACCACCTACCGTTAACTTGCATTCTGCAAAGGACAATTTTGCTACTTGCTGCTGAGTAATGACACTCTTAACCCTTAAAAATCAGCATCTTGTAGGAATACTGCCAAAGATGATTTCAAAATAATGTCTGTCTCCCCAAACAAGTAGAAGTAACAGAAGGAGAGGTTGGCATGCATAGAGAAACTCACAGATAGAAGGTGCATGATATTTGGATTCAACTGAATCCCCAAAACTAGTGCAGGCCTGAAAGGATGATTACATCGAACATAATTTCTCCAAAGATAAACAGCAACAACTTGCATTTACATAGTGCACCTCATGCAGGGTAGCATCTCAGAACGTTTGACGGTTTCAGAGCCTCATGTCGAGCCAGGGTGTGGTGGGATCCCATTAAACAAGCGCAAAAGAGATAGATAGATACTTGAGTAGTAGAGAAATTAAATGTGCTTGCTGAAAAATCCTTGCATTGAAAGAGCATGGCATTGGAATTAAACTATCTGAATTGTGTGAGAACAATTAAAAATCTAGATTACAAAACAATCCACAGATTGCCATTTGGCAGTCAGACTCCAAAGACTGCTTTTGCAGTTGGAAAATGTCACACGAGCATACAGGGGTGAGTGTTTGATGCTGGGGCCAAAACATATGGTTGCAGTAAAGTACTCAGCATCTGGCTGTGTTGGTCATGACCGGGTAGTACTGGATATTGATATAAGAACGATTCTTCAAAGATCTTTGCCACAAAATGCTTGAAAATTCATTAATAAAAAATAAAATTCTTGACGTATATTCTTGAGGTATATTTTTAAAATGCTGCAAATATGATTGTTGTAAACACCTTTTGCTTCAGATTTTAAACATATAACTTTATATCCATCTTGGCATATGTAGTTTATCCAAATAATGCAATTGTTTTTATATTGCTAATTTCAGGAAATAAATTACATTCTCCCAACTTCCTCATATTATTGTCTTTGAAACTTGAGTTTTTTTCATTAATCCCCTCCTTTGAAGAAGTTCCCAACCTCCGCCTTACATTAATTTGTATTTGCCAGACTCAGCACTTTGAAGCAGCAGCAGGCACATCCCTACCTCCAAGCAGTCTATCCTTTTCCCTTACATTGCGTAGGACGAGGAAAGACATAACAAGCTCACAGCTGCC